GTGGGTGGGTACCAGGAATCAAACTCAGGACTTTGTGCTTGCCAGGCAGGCACTTGTGTGGCTGCGCTCTATGGCAAATCGGATATATTTTAAAAACATACCAATGAGGGGCATAGTGGTGTATTTGTATAATCCCATCACCTGGGAATACTGGGGCAGGTGGACTGTAAGTATGAGTCCAACCCATGAATTAGTGGGAAAGTGTCCCAGAAAAGGTGGAGGGGCCAGGATATACCTCAGAATAAAGGCTGGGGAGTCCTTCTCAGGACTAACTATACACATATCGAGCTGAAGGTAACAGTACAATAGCAGAACACTACACATACGGCCCTTGTCTTCAGGGCCCTATCTTCCCCTATAGATACGTGACCTTCAGAGCTTCTGAAGCCACACTTTAAAGCCTAACGTCCTTTTTGGTTTTTGGATTTCTCACTTGTGTCCTCTGCTTTTGTCCATTGCTACTTACCTGTATCTGGGTGTACTGCCACTGTCTCTTGTCTCTTCACATTCCAGGGCTCTTTGCTTTGCTCCAGACAGGTGATCATGTATGGTTTAGAGTCAGCAAGACCTGTTTATTAGAAAATGGTAAATGATACTTTCAATTTTCCCAGCAACTACTGACTTTTCTCTCCTAGTTTGTACTCAATATAGAAGACATAATAAAACATTCAAGAACATTCTCTCTGCAGATGCCATTTCCATATAGACCCATTAGAATATATGGAAAGCAGTTTCAATTTGTGGATCTTGAATTGTACTTTCAACTACTACTAACTGAAAACTAAAAGGGTGAAGCAAATTAATTGTTGATAGTAAGGAAGAAATTACGTAGGGAAGTTATCCTCACCCAGGGAGACCAGGTTTCCATATGTCTCCAACATCACATCCCTATACAAATTCTGCTGAGCAGAGTCCAGGTCTTCCCACTCCTCCAGTGAGAAATCAATGGCCACGTCCCTGAATGTCAACAGTTCCTAAAAGATAGATAGATAAATAAATACATTAACGGTGTAGGCACTGAGTTTTAAATTTTTTTTGGGTGCTAGTAATTGAACTCAGGACCTTGTGCTTGCCAAGCAGGCACTTGCACCACTGAGCTATATCCCTGGCCCTGAGTCTTTAATTTGAAGCAATACAAAAGGAGACAGAAAAATTGGTCCTGACATAGGTGACATTTAACCATTCAATAAAATATTTTAGCACAGTAGTACTCTAATGTATTAAACAACTCTGATGAAAGGACATCATATAAAATCTTGTGACAGTATACTTCTTTAGTACTATGTATGTATTATACAAGGTAATATGTGTACATTTTTCAGGTGAGAAACTCATGCTGAGTTCATGGTGAGTTAGAAGTGTACTGCTCAAATTTGAAGATCCTATTAAAACACATATTCTGATTCAGTATTGTGATGAAGCCTGGATATCTGACATATAGCAAACTCATTAGTGATGCCAATATCAAGGTAGAAGGTGACACTACTTTAAATAGCCAAAAGCAAGAAAATCATGGGAGAATTCACATACATTTCACTGACAGAACTTTAAGAAACATTTTAATATAATCTCAAGTAAACCAACAATCTGTTTTGAACATGTAAAGTGTGTATAATATATGCAATTCTAATAGTTTCATATCCTAATGTATAACCATCCCCCAAAATGTCTGAAACCAGTATTTTTTTTGTAGAAAAATTTTCTACTAATGTGTAACACACTTGGTCTCTAGTGCAACTCTCAATGGAGTCCTTGTTCCCAAATGAAACCTCCTGATTGTGGACTTTACTATGTACAAGTCTATCAGCATTTTGCTCTTCTAAGCTCTAATCAGAATCTCCCACCAAGCTCAGCTTACAACATGCCAGTACTTGTCTAGCTAGCATCTCCAAATCTTTCCAAACTCCTCTCACAAGCAAGTTCCAAGGGCTTCTAAATCATATGGTCAGGTATATACTAATAACCCCAGTTCTCTGTTAACCAAAGTCTGTCTTAGTCACTTTTTAATTGCTGAAACAAAATACCGAACACCCACAACTTAAAAAAGAGGTTTACGTTAGCTCAGTTTTTAGAGGATTCAGTCTCTAGATGGATGGCTCCAAGGAGGGAAGGGCACGGTGGAAGGGTGTACTGGAGGAAAGCTGCTCACATCATGGTGGCCAGGAAGCAGAAAGAGAAGGGAGGTGCCAAGTGGGAGATACACCCTTTGGGTCGTGCTCCAGGGAACCACCTCTTTGACCAGGCTTCACCTAACAGTACATTTACCTATGGAGTCATTCAGTGGGTTAACTCATTGATGAATATAATGCCCCCATGATTCAATCCCTTTCCAAAAGTTCCATCTCTGAAAACATGAGACTTTTGAAGGACATTCTAGATCTAAACTATAACATTGGTTCTTGTATCCACTTGTGGGAATATATTTTTCTTACCCTTTGGGATAATTTTCCCCCTTCACAAACTGTAAGAGAATCCAAAGGGAGGAAAAAAATTCTGTATGCTTTCTGAATCCTAGTATTCATTTGGCTTACTACCAATGTGTCTACAAATAATGAAACCGGGGTTGGGAAATGCAAATTTTAAGGTACCAAGCTATTAAATTGTGATAGAGATAACAAGGCATTCCTCTTAGCAACAGAACAATCAGCTGCTTCCCTGACAGGTTTTACCCCACACTTCACGCTACAGGGGCTGAGTAGAGGCCAATATTCACCAGACACTTAAGAGGAATGTCCCTGTGCGTATCTTTTATCAACACCAAGCTGTTAAGAAATCTAGAACTAGGAAAAGATAGTATAATAGTTAAAGACATACTTTCTTGTGAAGATTCCAATGAGGAATATTAACTCAAACACATTTCATAAACTATGTCTAGGGAGGAGAAAAAGAGCAGAGGCATGAAGATGTTTTAAAGGCAGAATGAAAGGTGATTATTTCCCCCTTATCTATGTGAAATATTTACCAAAATAAAATCTTTTAAAAATGCCATGTATTACTTGTGGAGGAGAAGTTGTAATTAAAGAAACAGGAAAATTTGTTCCAAAGAATTTGTTACACCCAGAAGCTAAACTGATTGAACAGGGTCCTAAGTTTGACAGCCTATCTCACGTATCTTTGAAAAACAAGAGAGAAGAAGGCAGGGGAGGAGAGGGAGAAACAGACACTGAAGTCTCTGGGGACCACCGCTCTCATCAGACATGAACCTCACGTACCAAGCTGGATTATTCCGTGATGACTTATCACATGGACACTGCTCAACTGGAAGAGACAGGGAAACGTCCAAAGAGGGCTCTGAGAAGGAACAGGATATGCTGGAGTCTCAGATGATGGCCTAGCCCCAACCCCACATTATGGAAACACAGGGTCAAGCTTTACCACATGTGAACTCAGATGTGCACAATCTGGAGCTGACTCTGGGGCTCTCACTCTCACCACAGCCAGTTCAGGTTAGTTTAAACCAGCCACCCGCATGATCTCAGGATATCTGTACCATGACACATGTTTTCCAGGCATCTTTCATAGGAATCTTCAAGTAGATGCAGTTTACAGGTAAACAGGGCCCTAGGCAGAGGTATTTGGGTCTCATGGATCAGACAAGCCTCTGCAGCTCTGCAGGCCTGAGACAAGAGTCCTGTGGAACTGTGGACAGACTCTCCTTCGTTTCTGTCCATATACCTGCCTGGCCAGTTTCACTCCAGTAACCCTGACTGGCCAGAACAAAACAGCTCATCTATTCTGGTTTACATCTGAAAGGTTCCCCAAACATGCATTCAGAGTTGGGGCTTTTAGAAGGGGATTAGGTGATAGTGGCTCTATGCTTATTAGTGGATTAACACAATGAAGAGTTCAGACCTGCATGTTCAGAGCCATTTTCAGAAGCTGCTGTAGCCATGGTTAAAGAGTGCCTGGCTACTACTTAAGGTGTGAGGGTGGTAGCAAATCTTGGTACCAGCAATGTGATGCTGGTTTTATAGGCAGTCAGAATGCAAGAGTTGTGGGACCAGGGAGGTTTCCACCCAGATTCCAGAAAAAAAGCCTTAGAGACTTTTTTTTCCACTCAGAGTTCAGAAGAAAAGCCTTTTTCTCAGTATGCCCATGAGAGGGCAGTGCATGAAGTTGTAAGAATGAAACCAAATGCAGAGTGTAGACCCCAGAAAATTGGAGATACCAGAAATGCAGGTCTGCTGAGGAAAGCCACAAGCAGTCCTGCACAAGAATGGCCACAAAGGCTGTGAACAACAATGTCACTGTGGTGGATTCACTCATGATCTTTGGACTTACATCTTGCCACAATGTGCCCTGGACACTAGACATGAAGCCGATTTAATACCAGACCAGATTTAATGTCTGTTCTGTTGGGTTTCAATCTTTGCTTCAATTTCCTTCTGTACCCCCATGTGTCCTTTTTCAAATGGGAAAACTTACTCTGTGCCATTTTATATTTTAAGATTTTAACTTTCTTTTTTATTTTTATAGGGGCTCACAGCAAAGAGTGCCTTGAGGCTCAGAGGATGGAGACCACTACAAAGCAGACCTGAGCAGGACTTAATCAATTGGCTTTTCCTGTTCACTCGTGAATCTGCCCAAAGCCTGGGCTCCTTGTCTGGAAATAGCAGAGTCATAGTAAGTGAACCTCTGTGAGTCTCTAAACCCTACTAAAACTTGTAGTGGTGATGAAGCGGAAAGCCTCAAAGGATAAGACAAGATCACAGCCAAGGACACCTGCATCCCATCTCAACTAGATAAAGACTAGCCTCAGGCATCTCGCTCCTGGGTGAGTTAATACCTTACTTGGAGAAGTCCTCAAGTGATTCTGTCCTTCTTGAATACTCCTCTCCGTTATGATAACCAAATAAATATGGGCCACCCAGAGAAGGTCTTGGTGTTAGCCCTGAGAAAAATCTCAAATTCTGTGAGAGGGCTCTGATCCTCCTGGAGCCCTGAAATCATTCCACTTGCCTCTTTTTATTTAGCCTTTGTGCTACACTTGTTCATGAGTTTGTGGGCCTGATCAGCCTGCAATAACTAAGAAACATTATTAACCTGATAAGAGGAGGCTTTGAACTTGGGCTTTTCAACAATGCTGGAATTATTAAAACTTTGGTGATTGTTAGTGATGGACTAACTGTATGTTGTACAATGACATGCGCTTAACTCTTCCGGGGACTAGGGGTAGAATATTAAGTTTAGATACAGAATATCCACAAAATTTATGCACTAGGATTGGGCTTTTTGGATGGTAATTGGATCCTGGGGGAGCTATGCTCATCAATGGGTAATCCTTTGAAGAGTTCTGAGTTGAATGTGTTGTTAGGAGGCAGAACCAGAATAGGACAGACAAACCATTGTGGGCATGACCTGGAAGGGCATCTCTCCCTTCCTGACTCCTCCCTTCTTTCTCTGCTTCCTGGCCACCATGATGGAGGAGTTTTTCCTCCTCTGGAGAAAGCGTTTACTCCATAGAACAGCATATAATCTATTTGATTATTAAAGGCCTCTTCTGTTGAGGTCACCTTTTGGTGAACACTTACATGTGACATGAATATCTTTTGTTCTTTGCCTATTCAGAGAAATCTATTCATGTATCTCCTTCCTCTCTCATACCCACATCTTTGTCATCAATTTGCAAATCAAGTCCAAGTCCATGACTGTCCTCGCTGGAGCCCATGAACTGGTGGTATACAGTCACATTCCGCCATTTTTCCTTCCAAGCAAAATGCACACCTGCCTAAAATTCTGCATACTATGGACTACTTCCTTCACCACTGTCCTTCAGACACGAAACAGAAAGGGACTGTGCTGCTACAGGCCATTTTCAGGGAGTACTTGTGTAATGTATGCACCATCTGTAAACCAGGCATTCTGCAACAAGTGGACACAACAGCCACCTACAGAATACTAAACAACTACAGAAAACACATTTTTCTAAACAGCACATACTACATTCTCCAAGTAGATTACATAATAATCCACA